CATTCTCCAGTTTTTGAGATAGGGTCTCTCACTGAACCTGGATTTCACTGATTCAGCTAGACTGGCTAGCCAGCAAGTCCCAGGGATCCTCTTTGAGATTAAAGGCACCTGCCCCTGTGATAGGTTTTTATTGTGCTTCCTCATGCAGAGACTTCACTGACTGAACCATCTCTTCAGTTGCCAAAAAGTGACATATTGAAGGAAGAAATGCAAGATGAATGACGACAGTTGGGGAAAATCATCTTAGTCTTCAGAGAGTCAGAAAGCAGTGTGGATGCTACCATCATGTAGAGCCAAATCATGGCGATGGGGAAATGAATAAACTATGACCTCAGTATAATTTTGTTCATAAGTACTAACAAACGTATTTGTTAAGAATCCAATATACTCATAATGCTTGTTAACATATGTAGAAGTAACAGAGCTTTGACGCTTCTACTTGTACTCAAATCAAAAAGGCCACTCTGAGCTCAGTCTCAGGCTGAGACAAGACAAAGCAGACAACCACAAAAAACACAGTGCTGTAAGTGCCTTGAAAAATGCTGCCTGTGTTGGATAGCTTTCATGTCAACTTGACATACCTGGGTTGAGGGAGCCTCAATTGGGGAATTGCTTCCATAGGACTGGCCTGTGAGCATGTCTGTGGGTCATCTTCTTGATTGGTGAGTGATGTGTGAGGACCCAGCCCATTGTGGATGGGCCTGTGTTGTATAAGAAAGCAGGCTGAGCAGGGGCCAGGGGAGCAAGCCAGTAAGCAGCATTCCTCCATGGCCTATGTTCCAGCTCCTGCCTCCAAGTTCCTGGCCTGAATCCCTACCTTGGGCTCCCTGATGGACTGTGACCTGGGAGATGTAAGCTGAATAAACCCTTTCCTCCCCAAGTTGGTAGTGGTTGGAGTGTTTTGTCACAGCAGTGGAGAAACAAACTAGAACACTGCCTGTTGCAATGATCTTTCAGGAAGCACCTGCTACCATGTGTGTTAGTTGCTAAAATAGCTAAGATTGTTCTGCATCAGCATATTACTGGGAAGTGTTACTTCCTCACACTTGCCCAAAATATCTGCTTTTTTTAATAAAATGCTGACTTTTTAAATATCTTATAATAACCTAAGGGGCATATATACCTCTGTGCTTGAAGTCTCAAATCTACCAATATGATTACTACCAAGGGATGATGGAGAAATCCTATAAAAACTGGTATATGTATTTCTGATCTGGGTCTCAGTTTCTCTGAAGAAGGTTTTGCCCAGTCTGGGGCCTGAAGGTAGTAAAGAATACCCTTTTCTACATTCTGAGTCTGTCTGTGATTAATTCCCGTAACAGTGGTAATGATAGAATGAGTCTCCAGACCTGTTTTTAATGGATTGAAGCTGAAGTTACTTTTTGTTGTGATAGAATACCATGATGGAAAGCAGCTTAGAGAAGGGGTTACTTTGATTTAAGGTTCTAGAGGGATAGCGTCCACCATGGCAGGAAAGACATGGCAACAGTCAAGGAAAGCACAGTCATAGAAGCAGGAAGCTGGCTGATCACATTTTCATCCACAACATGGGAAGCAGAGAAAGACAACAGAAAATGGTGTTGGCTATAAACCCCCAAAGCCCACCCTCATGGTAGAGGACTGGCAAAAGCAACCACCCAGCCAGGTTTTATTACTTTCTCAACTCTTTTGCATCAAATTCTGATAGAATTTGAGTGAGATTAAGTGGTGTCCCAAAATTATTGTTAATTTATTTATCAAAAATTTCATACATATATACGATGTACTATGATCATATTCTTCCCCATTACCCTCTTTTATCCCTCTCCCAACTTCTTTCAACTCATCCCCCCACCTACTTTCATGTCTTTGTGCTATTGTGGTTGTTTGGTTTTGTACTCAACTGAGTTTAACTTTTCAGTATAATCATGGACAACTTACCAGTAGCAATTCTTCTGAAGAAAATGATTCCCTCCTTCCCCCAGCAACCATTAACTTCCTAGGGAAGAGGCCTCATGAGCCCTTCTCCAACCATGATGGAATGTTGAAGGGCCCAAAACTGTGCAGATTTTGTGCAGATAGCCACAGCTGCTGTGTGTTCATGATGGCAAAGGCCATGTCATATTTGGAAGATGGTATATGATAGCACTCCTTCCTGTTCTTTGGCTCCTGTATTCTTTCTGCCTCCTCTTCTACAATGTACCCTGGGCCTTGGCAGGGTGATACAGATGCCCCATTTAAGGCTGAGTATTCTTCAGTAAGTTGTGTCCAAATTTATGTTCAAAATTTCTTCTCTATATGCCTTTCCTTTGTCCTTCAGTGGAATGGAAATGATTCCAAAACTCTTAAAGACAAGAAAGTCACATGATGGAAGGTTCTTGTTATGTTTTCAAAATGAAAAGTCCCCCAACTCCTGTGTTTAAGTAGTGTTTTCTAATACAATCAAGTTACCAGCTGAAATTAACCATCATAGTAACCAACCACTTCCTGATTGGACTTCAGGCCCACTCTACAAGATGGAACCATTACCTGGACCAAGAATTTGTAGCAGGGTTGATCATAGGCCCTAGGAGAGAACCTACCACTATTATTCTGCTAAATGGATATACATTAAATTTTCCTAATTCTTATACTCATAGATTACGGCATTGCTAATTTCTTACCTGAGAAGCTTCTTTTTGTAGTAGATGGTGATTAATAAAGAGACCTACAACTTGTCAGTGTGCAGAGACTATGAGATTGTGAAATTCTCAGCCCTAGACGGGACACCTATATCACAGCTTCTCCCCCTAATGTTCAGAGACCATCAATCCAGAAGAGGGAGCAGGAAACTGTAAGAACCAGAGGTAGTGGGTGGCTGCCAGAAAACAGTGTTTCTGACATGACAGAGCTGCTGTACACATGAACTCATGAACTCACAGTGATTGCAACTGAATGCACAAGACCTATACAATGTCAAGCCAATCAAAATCCCAGAATAAGAAGAGATTCACAAAGCGCTACCCTAGCCTCGGAGCTATTGCCAATTGATGGCTGCTGGGGGAAGGGGCGTCCATTTTTTTCAGGGATGTGCACCCTGAGAGGCCATCAATCTCCAGCAAATGGACCTACACCAATGTACATACTGGCAGCACTAAGCGGAATACTGTTTGAAAAACAGCACCTGAATTTGCAAGGAAAGTGGTTGGGAGAGAGAGGGGAGGAATCGCAGGGGAGAGAATGGGGGCTAAATTTGATTAAAACATATGTATGTATGAAATTCTCAAGCAATAAAAAAACTTTAGATATTTTTAAGTACATATTAACTGTGATCACCATGCTGTACAAAAGATCACTAGAGCGGTTCTCTGGACTGAAACTTTGGAAAGTTAGATCTTAGGCAGCATTCATCTTCCCATGCCCCCATTAGAAATAGGGCCCTCAGTGATGGCCCACAGACAGCTTTTTTCTTCTATATTGCTCTACCTTAGCATACCACAAGGGGCTGACCAAACACTTTCCCAGGCATTTGTGCACAAAGGCCTTCCCTAGCTATTGGATGCTCCTGATCTTTGATGGTACCTACCAGTCACTCAGTCTGCTTGGAGTATATTTTGCCCTCATCCATAGGTGTACCTTAGGAGCATTTGGGGTGCCTGGCTACCTTCAGAATATATCAGAATACAAAGTAGTGAGTATATACTAAGGAAATTCAGAGAAGGGGAAGTCAGAGTGGTTTATTCTCGGTAGTTGGTACACAAAATTGATAATGCTAGAGATCTTAGGGGAAAAGCAGACATCAAAAGGATAGAAAGAGAGAGGTGAGCATGGCTATTCAGTGTAGAATTAGAGCTGACAGGTCTCAGAAGCATGTTATACTGTCCTAGAATGGGAAGTAATGAGAAAGCAGTGAGAGGCCTGCCTGGGTGAGACTTTATCACTCAAGAAGAGAGGAGCTACTTAAGCAGGAGTGGCCGCTGACCATATGATTGGAAGAGTGGTGTGGATGCAGTGTGAACTGCAGAGGGTGGATGCAACAGTGGGACCAGTGAATGTCCCACATAATAATGTTGGTGTTGGGGTATTAACAACAGAAATACAGTCTAGAAATGAGGTGTTTCAAAGAAGGATTGTAAAAATTTTATTAAGGATGAGATATAATAAAAGCCAGTGAAACTGATCTGATACTATTGAGAGAATAGAGGGGTTCTGGAGATGGCAATTTTGATGCGGAAGCTTGAACATCTTGAAGTGAGACCGCGAAGCAGAAGTGCTGGGAAAACTGAGAAATTGGCGCTCCAGTGAGTGGACTGGGAAGTATCATGTCTGGAGACAGCTTTCTGCTGAGTAGCTTTCTCTTGGCCCTCTCTAGTCCTCCCTCCGTCTCTAATAGCCCCGGAAGCAAGGCTGTGCTAGGAAAGGAGGTATAGCCGAGTCCTTGCCTTCTGGGTGCTTGCAGCTCGGGCCCAGGGCAAACATCAGAGAGTCAGAAGGGGAAGGATTTCGTTCATCTAGGATCTGGCTATAACTCCTGGCTATTCAGGCATGTGAAGTACCCAAAAAGGTGCCTGTTCGAATCCCGCCCTCCTCCCAATAAGGGGCCAGAAACCAGGTGTGTGCTTGCAGAAAAGGAGACTGCTTTTTATCCAAACACTGCCGAAGAGCCAGAGAGATCCGAGTGGAGAGCCCAAACAGAAAACAAGGGTGAAGGATCCTACTGTTTCACACCTTTGAGTCAAAATCTGATAAATTACTTCACCACGTGGCAGAAAGCAGGGAGCTTTCCCACACTATCGTATTTAACCACCTGCAGCCCTGGCCAGAGGGTCATAAAATGCGTCCAAAAAGAGGATGCATCGTGAAGGTACAAAAATCCTGCGTGAAGGGCGTGGGTTCTGTTGACTCCAGCGACCGACCTTTCAGGGAGCGGGTGCAGGCAGGCGGGTTCCTGTGCTCTGAACCGTGCGATCAGCTTTGGAGCTGGCTTTCCGCACCCTGCATCTGCTGCGTCGCCCTTCGCCTCCACCCGCCGGTCCAGCGAGATGAAGACCAAGAACGCGGACTTGCTCACGGCCCTGGTGGCTATCCTACTCTTCGGCTTCTCCTGCTTCTGCATCTCCAGGATGAATCAAACCAGTAAGCAGACCGGTGGCTCCCCATCTAGTCTTGCTCGGGATCCCGGGAGGGAAAGGGAGGAGAAAGGAAGGAGACCTGGTGGCGGTCTCCTGCCCCCCACTGGGACGCCTGCGAGCGCCCTCTTTGCAAATGAAGTGCCCCCACTCCCTTGTCCCTCGACGGTTAGCCTGTAACAGCCACACTGGGGCGCGAGCTAATGGATCTGACTGTGACTCGGTCCTTCCAAAGTTGCTGACTCCTCTCCTGCCTTCCCTCTTCCTGATCACTAACAGACAGGAGTCGATGTGACATTTCAACAGCTCCTCTTCCACGCCAGCATCTTTCTTCTTCGCTGGTGAATATCACAGGTCAGGTCACTGTTCCAGGCTCCTAAACAAAAGAGATCGCATGATGGAAAGAGCCGAAACTAATACTTAGGAGCTGGAGTCTAGAGCTTAACTTTCTCGAATGGGCCCTGCAACTTGTCACATATCAAGGTTTTCCTTTTCCATTGCCTGTAGGGAGTTAATTTACGTAACACAAAAAAATAAGTCTTTAGTTAAATTTGAATTTCAGACAAGCACTGACTTTTAAAGTATAAACCGTATAGGACATAATTACTCTGAAAGTTTGTTTCTTGAGTATCAGAAATTCAAAGCTAACTAGGTGTCATGCTTTTCTATCTTGCAAGCCTGGTGGTCAGTACATGATATTTAGAGTTTTGCAGTTAGGATTGCTTAAATTTAAGAAGAAAACAGAATGAGCTATTAATCCAGCCTTCCAAGATTTCTGTTGGATTATCTGAGGTTAAACGTTTTCACTTTTCTTCTTGAGCCTATGAGCAAGGTGCAGAGCGGTGTTAGGGTTCAGGTTTGGTGGTGACTTCATATTTGCCTACTATGTCTTATGTCCACAAAGCAAGTACATGGCCTCACACTCATTTCAAAACTTGGAGCTACATTTCTACTAGTCTTTGGTTATTCTATGACCCACTCCTTGTCTGCATTTTCTATAAAGAACATTATCTAAATGAAGTTTTATTTTAGAACAATGAGCCCATTTATAACAACCTCCTAAAGAGTGGCTTCTTATAGGCAAAAAACAAGATGTAAACTTATTTTCATGTCATTTTGGAAGGTAATTAGACTGCTAGCCTTAGAAAACATGTTAATATCATTAATATTTTTGCAATTAAACTGTACACTTTCATATATACACAAGCATTTTGGTATTTTGTGCTCTTGATTATAAAAAAAAATTTGGTTCCTCAAAACATTTATGTCCCTGTTATTCATACCTTCAAGTTAAGAAAATAAGATTTTTTTTCTCGAGACAGGTCTCAGGTAGTCCACACTGGCCTTCAATTCTATACCCAAGGACAGCCTTGAATATCTGATCCTTCTGCCTCCCATCTTCTGAATGCTGGATTGCAGATGTGTGCCACCATGTCAGGTTAATGCAATGTCAGGAGTCAGGAATTGAACTCAGGGCTTCCTGCATGCTAGGCAGGCACTATAGCAACTAAGCTACATTCCCAGCCAGAGATATGATTCTTGAAAATGAAGCACTGAGCATGGCAGGCAGAACCAATGTTTTGTTGTCTCTGTAGATGTGTCTGAGGAATCTAGCTCTAAAATAATCAGGAACTCAATCCTATAATGTTTTTACATCAATAAAAAGAAAAATCAAACAATGCATCATTTAGTTTTGTATTTCCTGACTTTTTAAAGTACCAAAGGCAATCTCAATGTTTTAAACACTAGCTCAATTACTTATTATCAATGAGAATTTGGAAATATGTACAGTGATATCCACCTTCTAGTGCCTAGTCTTTCCCCCCTTTAAAAATTAATTTTGTGGGCAGATAACCTTTTTGTTTTTCTGTAAGTTTATGTTATTAGTGATTGGTTGATTTCTTTAATAATATTTCAACTCAGTGAAGACAGATTCATTTCTGTTCTTGTCTGGTTGGTCCCTGATGTGTCCTTAGCATCCAGAAAAATGTGTGGCACATCAAATAGGCATCCTCAATATTTTTTGACAAAATGAATGATCAGAAAACTGATTGAATGAATGAATGAATATATTAGGAACCTATTCTGTGGTAGGCAATAGAGGGACAGCAACAGAAATCCCTCCCTACATGCAGTTTCCTTTATTCTTAAGGGAAATAACAGCTATAACCAAATGGTATAGTTTATGTGCAGTTTCAGATGTTGGCAGAGACAGGGAATGAAGGTTCTGTACTCAGCTGCATTATATTAATCGAAGCTACCACAGAGTAGCTGTGTACAGATAGAGTGTACAGATTCAAGGAGGGGAGAAATTGACTGCACTTGGTGATGTCTGGAAGATGACATCCCATTGCAGAAGACCATGTGAAAAGGAAGCATGGCTGTACCATCTTTTTGTCTGCTGTGTGGGTCTTTCCTGTGCCCCCTGCAGAATTGGTGTGAGAAGGGCTTCGCAGGGAGGAGGTCTTCTTGGGGTTTCGGTTTCTTTCGAAGGTACTTCTGTAGACCGACATTCAACACTGGGACTGTTTGCTGGCTGCTTCTGAGGTCCTGCTAGGGTCTCCCAACTGCAATTCCTTCCTGGTGTGGGTGATTAGTCTCTCCTGTCTTGAGCTGTTCCTCTGCCACTGCACCTTGTGGCCACCACCCCTTTGCGGCGACCCTCCTCTATACCCCTGAGCCACAGCCAGCTCTAGAGATCTGTGCCCCTTGAAGCTGCCTTCCTGGAGAGCAGCTTCACAGACAGCCCTCCGTGCGGTGTCTCTCCCTATCTCCTCCCCTCATCTTGTGGCAGGCCACTTCTTGCAGACCCAGTGGCTTGAAATTTTCAGAGGAAAAACACTTCTCAGCCCAAATTTGGGGAGAAAAGACTCAAGCACTGTGCTTTATTTTTGAACTCTCTTTTCCCTAGAGGGAAATCACCCTCATATCTGTACAAATGGAGGAGTATATTAAATCCCACTGTAGGACCTTGAGACCCTCTTCATTCACCCGCTACCCCCCAATCCCTCCAGACCCCCACTAGTTGCTCTTTTAGCTTCTGAAAATGCTTGGCTGCTGCTTTAGACATGCCTAGACATGCCCTGGCATGCTGACCCCTGCCTGCTATTCCCCACCCCCCTTCCAGGAAGCTATAGATTAAGCAAGCCCGGGCATGAAAACTGCCCTATAAGGTAAAAACGGAGAATCCTGGCCCCACAGATAACAGTCAGCACATTCCGCAGCCCTGAGAATAGCACCTATGAATAAGAAACTTACAGGGCTGCATCTTATACACCAGTAAGAAACCTCCAAGGCTGCATCCTACACATCCAATCAGTTTAAAAGTATGTTGGCACGTGCAGGCTTCTTGGACCAATCACAATGTGACACTGTTATTCCCCTCCTCCCTTTGTCTATAACCTGTAAAAAGCCCCTTCTTCCCTCGCCCTGGGCTCTCAGCACAGATCCGTTGCATTGGTGAGGTCTGAGAGCCTGAGCTTAAGCCCCTCCAAGGCTGCATCCTACACATCCAATCAGTTTAAAAGTATGTTGGCACGTGCAGGCTTCTTGGACCAATCACAATGTGACACTGTTATTCCCCTCCTCCCTTTGTCTATAACCTGTAAAAAGCCCCTTCTTCCCTCGCCCTGGGCTCTCAGCACAGATCCGTTGCATTGGTGAGGTCTGAGAGCCTGAGCTTAAGCCCGAATAAACCATAAACCTTTGCTTTTGCATTTTGGTGTGTTGGGTCCTCGGTGGTCTTTCTGGGGTCCAGTGGATGAGGTACAACATTTGGAGGCCCGTCTGGGATCCCCCAGAGACCCCCCCCCAAGAGGAACTGACCCCAAAACTTTTGTGATCAGCAGGCCTGGTAAGTTTTTGTAAAACTGTGTGTGATGGCTAATCCTGGGTGTCAACTTGATTGGATCTGGGATTAACTGAAATGAAAGAGATCTTCTTGACTGGATCATCTAAAGCCTGAAGACACATCGTAAATGTGGGCATTACCTTCTGATGGCAGCTGGTATAAAAGACAAAGGCAGAGCAGAATGCCAGGCTTTTTGCTGCTTGCCTTGTCTCTTGCTGGTGAGTTCATCTTGCTGCTGTAGACTGAAGACTAGCGCTGATCTTTTGGAATTTGTCAGACCTTCAGCGCCAAATTGGGACTACTGAGACATCCAGCCTTGTGGACTGAGCGACTATGGATTCTCAGCCTCTCCAGTGTGGTGCAGCCATTATTGGACTACTCACACTCTATCCTGTGAGCTAAGCTGATAAATCACTGTACATATTCATTCTACCGGGTCTGTTTCTTTGGAGAACCCTGAATAATACAGATTGTGGTACCAGGAGTGGTTCTAGAGAAACAGAATTGAAAGGATGAATTTCTTTAATGGGCTTGTTGGTATTTGGAGCAGGTTCTCCAAATCAGAGACTTCAGATAGCATGGAGAGTACTGAAAATCCGTGGTGTAGACTAT